CATAGTAGGGCATCTTGTGGTTTCTTACACATTGTTTGCTATTGTTATATTTCCTATAATAAGTATTAAAGTAGTTCATCGCAACAGATGATAAAGTATTATGGTACGCAACTATGTAATTATGGATCTATCAATAAAAAATTAAAAATAATAAAAAACAAACATCTGTGATGTTAGCGAAATGAGATACCAATGAAAAGACGATTGACGGATAAATATTTCTGAATTGCTCGGAAACTACTGTGTAGGCCACAGAATACCTAAAAACAAACGTTCATTGCCAGCATAGCGGCCCGGTAAGATAATTAAACTTTATAGGATATATTTACTTGTGTAACATATGTTATAGTGCTTATGAGATACTCCACTCTTATAGGATAATTTCGAAATATACATATACAAGAACAATGCGGTATTGTGTACAATAGAAACTTACAAATGTACACATTTTCCTTAATGAGCCCCTTTATAATACACTCAAAACTAGTTGTACGAATCTGGCACGTACTTTCTCGCCCTACTTTCACGCAAAATTACGCGAAAGTATTCAAATGTTCCAAAAATTTTACATGACCTTATTTGATAACTTATCTTTCAATAATGGGTTTTTAAGGGAAAAAATCTGTATCTTTAATATGTTAGTTGCAGGAACACTCAGGAAAAATCAGGATTTTGAACGAACATCCTGCACCGATTCCTTAAACTTTCCTTCACACTATCCAAAAACAAAATTTAATCAAGAATGATAGCACCATTTTCTTGAAAAATGCCGTGACATCAGACAGATGGATTGAGGAATATCAATTTTGGAGACAAATGTGCAGAACGGTTTAGGCACTCGCGTTGTTCACAGACGGAAGGACAGACACAGAGAAACAGACAGAGGCAAACACACGAAGGGATAGACAGACGTTTTGCTGTCATTCGAGTTTTCGGTATCAAGGACCCTCAAATCAAGGATTCTGGCAACACCACGTGATAGAGTAATTTTTTAAAGCAATTGGATATATACCCATTTCGGTTACCACGGCCCTGTAACATGTTTTCTGACGAAAATTCACCACTTTTTCACGCAGCATTACATAACTATCTCTCTTCTCCGTAAAGAGAAAGTAAAATGTACCCTTCGGAACAGCTCTTCTGAGGACGTCCGGACCGTATTCTGTACTTATACAGCGGGCATACTCCGAAAGAACATCCGGCCACAGGAGGTGCGTTTAAGTTTTGTATTTTTCATTTTATAATTTTTATTCGTATACTTTCACGTACTACACCCGAGGATGAACAGACACCTGTATGTGTAATGAATCTTTTATTTTGAATGGGAATTTTTAACACATTTAGTTTTTAAAACAGTTTGTTAATATGAATCGCAGTTTCGTACAGGCAACTGTGGTATCCACCCAACAATAAATTACAATGAATTCCTTGGTAAAATACTGAATGAATCCCATCCTACACATCCGTATAATACTTTTGACTAAGGTGATGGACAACGGAAACTCACGGTAAGGTGTCTTAATAATAATTTTATTTGTAATGGCTCATTTATATAGTGGTCTAGGGGTGGTTATTGTGTTCTGCTTGTATAGATTAAATACGTAGTACCTGAAGTAGAATCTAAAGACATAGGATTCGAAACGTAAGCAAATTTAAGAAGAATAAACTGTCTGTAAACATATTTTTTTTAAATCAATATTAGAACCGGAGTTATTTAACCGGAACACCAATTATTTGGGCGCTTGTTCTTCTTGTTACTGAGGTTTCACTGAAATGTGTCGAGGGGCCGGACACGTCAACACACGCTCCCCAGGCCAGCCCCTCTCCCTTCCTCGCGGCGACGCATTCCTCGCGGCGAGGGCCGAGCCGCAACGGTCCCGCTCAGGCACGCACGCACGCACGACGCACGCTCGCACGCTCGCGGCGACGCGCGGAGGAGCACGTGTTGCACACGCTTTCGCACGCACGTTGCGCACGTTTTGTCGTGCTGAATGATTGATTACTAGTGATTCCAGGTGCGTCAACTCCTAAGGTCAAGTCCCCTAAACGTCGGTCATGCGCTGAATGGCGACATCTGGCGCTGACCTAACGTCGGGTAGCGGGGTATTCCCCAACCAGGTATCTCCCACCTGCGGGACATCGCCTGCACCTGAACAAGCTCTAAGCTCCCGACCGGTCTCACGGTATAGGTCAAGGTTTCGCGTCAATAGTTTTTTCAATACCAAGAAACAACAAAACATATATTCTGACTGCAGGACATGTTAGTGAAAGTATTTTGTTACACATAAAAACACGGTTTATCCAATTTTGAGTGCCAAGATTCAGTGCGTGAGTGATCAGTACTGAGCCTCTGAGCGTCAATCATATCCCTGCAATACCTGACTGGAAGGTTCAAGAGATCGAGTGCCGACGGTGCCCTGGCAGGATTTTCGACACTAGGTAATTAGTTCGAATTCTTCTCCTGTGTGACAGAGACTTCTCGCAAACGGCTGTTCTAAGCGGTAGTTGTTAGTGGGTTTTTTTTTCGATCAACATCAGACAAAGTCGGGAGTAGTGCACTAACAAACGGTCCACGAGAAACGCGTTCTAGCCTTCCTTTCCCTTGTCTTATCCTCACCCTTATTTACACACAGTTACACGCACTACTATACCAAACCAGTCGAAAGAGCAGTCGGGAGTTTAGAGCTTGTCCCGGCTAGTGCTGTGCCCGTCTGATTGGAACCGACCTGTAATTTGGTGCCGGATCTCGCCATCCAGCGGGGGATGGTCACCGCCGTCTTCATGTCACCGCCATGTTCATTGGTCATATTACGTTTTAACTTTGTTTTCAGTTAAATGTAAATTATAGAATAATAAACATGGCAAATGTCAAATTAAAATTTTGTTGCACACGAATTTCATGTTAGAGGTAGTAATACAGCATTAAAATATTAATGTTTAAAAATGAAATGGATGGATTTCGGTCGATGGATTATTACAATAGATGTTTGTTCGTGGCGGGGCCGCTCACAGGACACTGCGTCGCCGGACTGAGAGTGACTGAGAGTGAACGTGATTTCGGCGGCTCCGGAATGTCGCTAAGGAAGCGTGTGTGATGCGCTTTCTTGCCCTAGGGCAGTGATGTCAAGGGCGTTGCCACCAGCGGAGTCTGTGGCACGGGTAGCACGACGAAACCTCCCTCACCACTCTGCTGATCACCTCGCCGCAAGAGAACCGTAGGCGGTCACCGTGAACGCTTCTTTGCCTTACACATGAACACGATTAGGTGAGATTTAGAAGAATACATTTAAGAATATTTGTTCTTATTTTTATTCATATTTTTCTTGTATTTTTCTGTGCATATCCCCCTTTTTACATGCGATTCCGCCAGGTTGGAAAATAGCCAGGTTTTTGTTCTGTTTCCCTGATCCATTAAGTAATGCTCAGTTGTCCCCTAGTTTTGCTTCTAGACGGAAATGTAGCTTCACTATGCGCACGTTAAGTTGAACTCTCCTTTTCCTTGTAATGGTAAGAGTAGAGGTAAGGGCGAGTTGCTATTTTGTTAGCAATGCAGAAAAATCACACTTGCAATTCGTGTACCCATGCAAATAAGTTTTCTATAACTTAGAAACTAATATGACTATTTTTGAAATAGTGCTCATCTTGCGATTTTTAAAATTTATTTTTATTTATTTATATTAAAATTTTACTCATCTTTCAACTATTTATAGTTAAAACGACGGGAAGGGATTCTGGAACTCAAGAAAACGTGCGCAGATAATCTTCTACCCCTACGTTACATACAGTTTTTACTGTTTTTTGACTGAATAAATCTCAATTTAAATCTACAACTGTTAGTTTCTTTACCCGACGCTAGTTGCGCTGAGAAGCTCGTGGCATGCCACAAAGCGTGCCGCATCCACCAGTAGACCTTGGCATTGCTGCCCTAGGCCTAAGCTACTAGGCTGTCTGCGGCGTGAAGCGAAACGCGTCTCTGTCAAGGATGTACATGTCCGTGGCAGTCACATCTCAAATATTCAACAATTTTCTACATCTATAGATAAACAATTACGCCTTGTAAATGTGAACGGAGCATTAAAATAATTGTTAGTAGTTAAAAGAGAAGTATGTTGTAATTGCTGAATAAAACAATGTTTACTAAGAAATTTACTATTTAATTACTGTATTAAAAATAAATAGTAAATTAATAAATTGCTAATATTAGTATTAATTACTATTACATTTCTAGCATTATTTTTCATTTTCATAAGTTGGTAATACCAAATGTATGTTAGGTTGACTTAACGTCACCTGACAGTAGTCACCTCACCGAAGTGCTGCTTGTATCCATTTATGTATTGTTTTGCATTCCGTTTCTTTCTCCGATAACGTCTCTCGTAACTCCGACAACGATAATGAATAAACAAACACCTTCCAGCCCTCCATGTCACAACGTACCAGAGTAGCTCTTCATCTGACTACAGATACAGAAAAGTAAAGTTTCGGGAAACCTTCCAGTATTGTTAAAAATAACTTTCTTGTTTGAACTTTGACGCTGTACATTTTACTAGGTTTTCTGGAAAAATAATTCATTCGATGAGGTTTAATGTCGATTGGTATTGACCTAATGTGATGATACATTAGATCAATAACAGTCTTAATCTTTTCCCCCCTACGTCACATACAGTTTTTATAGTTTTTTTGACTGATTAAATAAAAAATAAAGGAATGGTCAATTAGAACAAGTTCTTTGCAAATGTCAGGAAAATACATACAGTTCTACTTTAAATCAAGTGTTCCTTTCAATCTGACACTGTAAAATATCTGTTCACCAAAAATATACACTCTAATAGAGTAAATTTAACTTTTGTATTGAGCCCTCAACTGAAGTCGTAGTGACAATTTGACCGCACCCGAAAATTTTTATCGTACATTCTTTGCATAAGGTAACGTTAACCTTCTTTGTGCTATTCTATTCCATGTTTATATCCTGGATTTATCTACATTTATGTTCTGAAAAGAGTTGGGATATTTCCACAGATCACTCACACATTTACTGGTCAAGGCAAAAGCGGGATTGGAGTGTATACACAAGAGTTGGGAATAAAGGAGGTGCTGGGAATGTACCTTACCATTAACACAATTGAGGCATCAAAGAGACAGGCCGACCCAGCTGTAATAGGGACTTCCGTCACAAGCAAACTCCTCACCACGCTACTCGGACCTACTAGAACTGACAGGATATGAAATGAAGGGCGATGCATAAAAAGTCAATGAGGCCACATTGTGGTCTCTTCAGCTCAACTGCCTCATTTGTTTGGCTCTGATGCGAAAACATACATGAAATTTATTAAACTAAGGTGGAAATTTACTAAAAACTGTTCGTAATAATATAAAACAAAAATAATCACTGCTGCGGCTCCAGTTTTTGGCTCCTTTCGAAACCTATTAAAGAGAAGTTTGTAGAACAGAGGTATGTAGGTAAGTGCATTTCTTTATTTTGCTTTTGCGAAAATAATGCCAAGTAGTAATACCTTTGTGTCAGAACTAATTTACCCGACCCTTGTTCTAACTAGAGTTGGGAAATTCATGCAAGCGTTTTTACGTGAAATGTGCTATAAAATGTTAAAATATGCACAGAAATGTTTACATTACATCTTGTTGGCTCCTAGATAAACAGGAAATACGCACATTAAAACAGATTAGTATCTACTTCTACAAAATTTATTTTGCCTTAAGAGCACAGAAAGTCACTAGAATTTTATTCTGTTGTAAGGGAGTGTTTCCTATTAGACAATATAATATTGTACGTTGAAAATGATATTTCCACATCACATGATGTTTTGGGTGCGAACCTATATTTTGACACGTTTTTACTCAATACATTATCTGGAATAGGAACACACTTTCCTTCCAATAGTTTATCCACTGTCTAAAGTATGAAGTCCTAGACTATTTACACAAACTTCATTTGTTTTCTTCCTAATTTTTTTCTCCCATATTGAAGCTTGTGAGCACCGTGTCACATGTAGTATCATTTGTATTAGAAAAGAGGGCCTCAATGTTGTGAACGTTTTAATCATGTGTGGTGCAGCATCAATTATCTTGAAGAGTACCCTCTCATCGCATCACTATTTAGCCACACAATTGGGAGGTGCGACTAAACTTTCGGGGGGGAGGGAAGATGTCTTGCCACGCAAGGACATTCTGAAGATGCCGAAAGAACGCGAGGTTGCAACAATTCCATTCTTGAACTTAAAACCAATAGAGTTTAACTATACACATCAAATGCTCCAATCAGGGTGGCGTAGGTAAAAAAAATATCGTTTTTTTCTATCCGATTTTTCTTAGTACTTCCGTACCTGCTGGCCAATCATAAACTGTGACTCATCTATCTGGGCGTTGTACATCGATCGCCATGTCAATGTCGAATAAACAGCGTATGTTCGACAACATAACCTCTGTTTTTAAAATACAGTTTCAGTTATTTTCGATATTTGGCGCATTTTGGAACTCAGTTGGACATAATTTCACTCGTGGAATAGTCCTACTAAATACCACTCGTGCTTGGAAATTCTCAGATAAATGTCCTCGTTTCGCGAGTTTGGAATTTATCAACAATTTTTAAAACACTCATGGTATTACCTACGATAAATCGATGAGAGCAGATATTACTTCGGCGGCGTCGGCCGTCAGTATTCTGAAACTCGTTGTACTAAAGATTTTGAAGCAACAAGTATGTTCATTCTTTGCATTAATAAATATTTTTTAGCTATTTTAGGCAAAAAGTCCCAAAATATAAAAAAAATATTTGTGTATATGCCAAAAGGCTCTGGGTATGCCAAATATGCATTATATGCAAAACGTGCAAAACGTTTCTTGTTCCATTTTCAATATTTTGCCATGAAAGACGTATTCAAACTTTCAGGAAGATAAGACCATGAACAAAAGACATGCAATTGCATGAACATCTCAGCTCTGGCCCTAACCCCTTCGTGACATGTTAAAATCGATTGGTCGAGTGGTTTGGCTGGACGCGTACTCAAAACACCCGCATCAAAACCGCATTAAGAAGCAAGGGGAACTTTTTCTCAGACAAAACGGATGGATGTGCACATTTTGCTTTTTGAGAACCGAACTTGTGTCGGGAGTTTCTGTCAGATTTTCTTTCGGACTAACTTTGGATGCTTGGCAACTTTTAAGGGTTATATCATACAGATGAGATCACTTAACTTTGGCACCTCCTGTAACTTTTGAACGGTTGAAGTATTTGAAATGCAATTTTCACGAAAGTGCAAAACGAAATGGGCTAATACATGTACGTATTCGTTTCTATTCTATCACTTTCATTTTACGAGATATTGAGGTAACTTTGTTTTTTCAAATGGAACAGTACATATGGTTTACTCTACCATGACGATCGTAAGACGACGAATCCAATGATATGCATATTTTCATTTTTTAGATAAGCAATCTTTTTAGTAATGTTTAGTAATCTTTTTAGTAATTTTGTATTGTGACTGGTACCTATTGTGTATTGTGTATTTACTTGTGCGACCTGTATATTGTGCTTCAGAAAGTTAATCCTTTAAGGGCCATATATCTTTGGGATACACCTGCCCAGCATAAGTTCATAAAAATGATACAGACTTTCATACGCCACCTATGCATTTAAATGCTCTAATAGGTTTGTAAGCAGTGACTATTTAGTGTTTTCGGGCAGGCCAACTAACGGTTGCTACCAGTTGGCGTCCAGGCGGGCACCGCCTCAGCCGGGACCGCTCTAACCTTCTGCATTGTCTCCCGATTTGTGTGGTAGTTTTACGTGTTAGTGCAAGTGTGAGATAGGGGAGAGAATAGGATATAACAGGGCAGAACAGGACAAGGAACAGGGAGAAAGGATCGCGCGTGGCCCATTTGTTAGGGCCTCCACTCTGGCATTCACCAGGTATTGACCGGATAAAACCACAAAAAAATATGAATCAGAGCAGCCTGCCGGTAGAATTCTCTTCAGGGAAACGGCAGAAATAGATCTAGGAAGATACCTAGGGACGAAAACCCACCGCAGTCGCGACTTCAAACCTAGGATCATCCAGTCAAATCGCTGCAGAGACAGCCGTATGATGGATTGATTGTTAGTGATTCCCAGCGCGTCAAGTGCTGAAAGCATTATTCCCTTACGTGTAGTGCACGTGTTTGCTCGGGGAGGTGACGGTGGTCTTCCCCCGCTGTATGGCGAGATCCTGCGCCGACCTACTGTCGGCTGGCGGGGATTCCCTCAAACAGGTACCTTACACCAGCGGGGCATCGTCCCAGCTGGGACAAGCTTTAAGCTCCCAACCGGTCTCCCGGCATCTGAAGTAGTCAAGTGCGTGGTAGTGTAAGTGTAAGTAATGAGGTTAAGACAAGGAAAAGGAAGGAAAGATCGCGCGAGGTCCTTGGCCCGTTTGTTAGGGAACGGCTCCGGTATTCGCCTGGTTTTGATCGGAGAAACCACGGAAAACTACCGATCAGAGCAGCCGGCCGCTAGAATTCGCCTCCAGACAGCTACTGAATTCGACCTAGCTGACAAGCTTGTGTCAAAATACGGCCCTCGTCGAGACTCGAACCTACGACGACCAATTCCGATAGACTACAGCGTCATTACAGGAAGCGGTATCTGGCTGTGTGTTCACTCAACTGGTTTGATCCTTTGGCCCCGAAATTTTGTCACACGTTCGAGAACGTCTGACTCTGCCTCTGGATAGGAACGCGGACTGCAGATATTGCTCAGGGAGGTGACCGTTGATGAGGGTTCTAAGGCCTGGATGGCCACGATGTGTCCCGGGGAGTATTATTAATGACCATGTGCCAGAATATTGATAATATGGTACTAATTTTGATTCTGGATGTCACTTCTTACGTTATTGCATTCAAATGAAACAGATAAATTTAAAAAACCCTCAAAATTATAATATTGTTAAAAGTTGAGATGGTTTCTACCATAATGTTTAATTGGGAAGTTAAAATCCTTACCTAGTTTTAGCATCTCTACAAAGCTTTTATGCAATTGTTGTCATTTGAACTAGGAAGGCGTTTTGAGATTAAAGATTTGAATCTAAGGTGTAAAAGATTTATAAATATGTTTGGAATGCGATGCGTTCCTCAATTTCTAGTAAAAGTACTTCGTTAATATAACTCTAAAGAATTATGTATTATGCAGAACATGCTCTGTACTTGGTTTTTAATGAACAACTAAATGTTAATAATAATTAAACCATGGCTAATATTGTGACTAAGATTGTAGATAATTTTTCCGACAGCACTAAATTTCAACCAAAGAATAGGTATTCTTCTAATAGCTATTTTAAGATCATTCAGAATTTGCTCGATAAAAGAGTGTAACAACATGCATTGTACCACACCAAATATAGCCTTCGCATACGGGCTTGTAAAAGTCCCCAATTATGACCTCCCTACGAGGTCGGTAATACCTTCGGTGGGAACAATTGACTATTTTTGTCGAAAAATTTGAATCAAAATTATTAAGCATATTTTTATAGAATACTATGGTTATGGATAAAGCAGTTTAGATTTAATTCTGAAATTGAATTAGGTCTTTCCATCCTGTGTCAATAAAAAAATCCGTAGTAATGAATGTAGTCGATAAAGTTCTTATCCCTCCCATTCCATCAGTCTAATTTATACAAAAGATTAAAAATGTGGAGACCGAACTATTACCCATTTACATTTATTAATAAAATTGTTAAACAGCGATTAAAGAGTATTAACAACTAATATCATGTGAGTGATAGATCACGTGGCGGATTTGCTGGCCGGCGTTCTTCGACGTTCTCGAGGTGTGCCGGTACAGAACAAGCGCCGGCGCGAGACGATTAGTAACGGAAGAACAGTTCTCTTGCGGACGATACGAATATTCTTTGCAATACAGAAGCCGTAAATAGTACAATATCAGATATTTCAAATTGGTTTCGTAATAACAAATTAATAGTAAATGAAAAGAAAACTGTTTCAATGAAGTCCTCCATTTCAAACAGCTCGACACTTCAGTGAAAATGAACAGCGTGCCATTGACTGATGTTAAGATAACAAACTTTTTATGTCTTTAAACTGTAAACCGTAAATGAATTCGTCCATTTAAATGAATTGAACACTAAATTAAGTTCTTTATGCTA